GGAGCGTCGGACAGCCGAAAAAGCGAGAAGGCCAGAAACATTGAAAAAAGCGAAGACAATCAACGATTTTGGCTTCTGCGGCCCCTCTTGGAGGTGCACTTCGAGCGCTCTGGGGGCCTCGTGGAGGCGTCTCGGGCCGTCTTGAAGGCGTCTTGAAGCCATCGTAAGCGTCTCGGATACACTCTTAGACCGTCTTGGGCCGTCTTCGGGACCTCCTGAGGCCGTCTTGGGGCGATCTGGGAATCCTGGATGAGTCCGCGAGCGGTCCGGGGGCCTCCCGGGCCCGTCGGGCAGCGGCCCAAAGGCTCTCCGGGCGGCCCGCGGGCTCTCTGGGCGGCCCGGGGCGCTGCCACTGCTTGTACTTCTCGCGCGCGCTTCGCCCGGAATTGTAATACAGACTTGTGTGAACCCGTGGAAAATCCACGGCCCGCAGGTCCAGGCGTTGGTCCGGAACGCGCACGTGTCGGAAGCGCTGGAAGCGTCAAAAGTAATGTGTTTTTGCGAGTCGCGCGAGGACTGGGCGCGATTAGCAGAAACACGTAGGTTTTCAGACACAATCAGAGTAAGGGGGCCCGAACGATCTTACAGAGTCCCTGTGCGCGAGAAGTTCGATGTGGGGGGTGGACGCGTGGGGGCCAGAGTTGGGCGCCACGTTGGGGGGCCTCGTTTGAAGGACACGTTGGGGTGCCTCGTCAGGGGGTCATGGTTGGGGGCAACGTTCGCGGCCCTGCCGGGGGCCATGTTTTGGGGCCGCGTGCGGGGTTCGGGGGCACATGTGACGGTCGTGTTTGAGGGTGCGGGGTTCGGGGGCAGATGTGACGGTCACGTTTGAGGGCAATCGTTGGGGGCTGTGCGTGTTGGGGCCACGTTTGGGGGCGCCTGGGGGCTACGCGTGGGATTGACGTTCGGGGGCCACGCTTACTGGGGCGGTAGGGGCGACCTTCGGAGGCTTTGTGTGGGGGCCGCCTTTGGGGGTCCCGTTTGGAGGTCACGCGTGGGGCCGACGTGTAAGGGGCCACGTCCAGGGGCGATCTCAGAAAGCAGTCGGGGAGCACCCGGGGCACTGACCTGGAAGCGTGTGAAAGAAGCGGTTTTTGCGAATCGCGCTGGGACTGGGCGCGATCAGCCCAAACTCAAGGGTTTTCAGGCACCGTCAGAGTGAAGGGGCCACGTTAGCGGGCCCGCGCAGGGTGGTCCTGGGGCCATCTCGGGGATCTCGGGCCATCGCGAAGGTCGCTTTGGGCCCTTGTGGGCGGCATCTGGGGCCCTCCCTGGGGCGTCTTGGGGCCATCTTGGGGGTCTCGGGCCGTCTCGGAGGTCGCCTTGAGCCCGCTCGGGCGGGATCTGGGGCCTGGTTGGGGCTGACTTGGGGGTCGCTTGACGCTCTCTTGGGCCGTTTTGGAGCCCTCTTGGGCCGTCTACGGGCCTTCTTGGGCCGTCTGGGAGTCCTCCTGGGGCCCTCTTGGACCGTGCAGGGGCGATCTGGGAAGCCCCCGGGGCCATCCTGGGCCGTTGTAGGCCCGAAATGGCGGGAACAGGACAACCCTCGAAACCTTCGGAAAACGCACGCGTATTGCTTCTTGGCGCCGTCCACGCGGTCCTCGGGGGCTGGGTCGGCTTCTGCCCTCTTGGGCGTCTGTGAAGCCGTCTTGGGGCGATCTGGGGGTCCCAGAGCCGTCGGCGAGCGCTCCAGGGGCCTCCTGGGGCCCTCGAGGAGCGCCCCAGAGGCTCTGCGGGCGGCCCGCGGGCTCTCTGGGCGGCCCGGGGCGCTGCCACTGCTTGTGCTTTTCGCGGGCGCTTCGCCCGCAATTGTAGTACAGATGACGTTGGGCTCCAGCTTCGCCTCCCGCATCTCTCTGAACACTGACAGCGCGTGTTGCCATTGCCCGCCTTGTCTGCATGTGCTGATAGTCGCAACGTAGTGACTTGGGACGAGTTGCACACCTAGTCGAAATCCTTCGCGGAGCAAGCGCAGTGCTGCGCCCCATTGTTTTGTCCGACCGCAGTTCTTGATCGACGCTTCGAGGGAAACAGCGCCTTCTCGGGACCCTCGACCGATATCCCGCATACCAGCTTGAGCCCAAATTGGGCTCCCTGGGCCAGAATTGGCTTCCTTGGGTCCTCCTGCTCCTCATGTTCCTCCTCCTCTTTCTCCTCCTCCTCTCCCTCCTCTCCCTCCCCCCTCCTCCTCCCCCTCCTCCTCCTCCCTCTTCCTCCTCCTCCCTGCTCCCCCTCCTCCTACTCCTCCTCTCCCTCCTCCCTCATGAAGCAAACGCTTCATGAGGGATACTGGCCATCAGCTTTTCGCAAATCTCAGGCTCCCAGGGCCCTCCACAGGCTCAGAGACCATCAGGACACGAGCCAAGACGAAAAAAGGGGTCCCGGGGGGAACGCCCCAGGGTCCAGGGTCCCTCTTCCCTGGGGACTTCTTTGGGCGATGTCAATCGTCCGTCAACTCCTCCTGCTTGTCCTTCTCCTCCTCCTCCTCCTCCTCCTCCTCCTCAGTATCATCCTCCTTTGGTCCATGTCAGCCAGTTGCGGTTATCGCAGATGCCCGATGCTGGAACCAACGCAACCCACAACCCGTCGACAAGGTCCCAAGGGCACGTCCCGCACTCGGCGGCCACCCGTCTCCTCCTCCCTCTCCTCCTCCCTCCTCCCTCCTCCTCCTCCTCCTCCTCCTCTTCATCCTCCACCTCCTCCTCCTACTGCTCCTCCTTCCTCTCCTCCTCCTCCTCATCCCGCACTTAGCCGCCGCACACCCAGGCTCTTACCTGCCGCACCCCCAGGCCGGTGGAAAGGGCGGGCCAGGCGTTTCGCCCAAGACTTCCTCACCACTTCTGATCCTGAAGGTCAGAGATTGGCAACCATTTCGCAAATGGAGGGCGGGTCGTTTTCAAAATGTGGCTCTCTCCTTAGCGCCGCGCGCATTCGTTGAAAGACATTGTCAGAGCTTCGCGGATTGAGGGTGGGTCGTTTTCAAAATGTGGCGCCGCGCACGTTTGTTATACAAATTCGGAAGGTCTTCACGGATTGGCGGGTGGTTTTCAAAATGTGGCCCTCGCCTTAATACCGCGCACATTCGTTTAAACAATCTGCAAGAACTTCACGGGTTCAGGGTGTATTTTTTCAAAAGATGGCTCTCGCCTTAGCGCCACGCACATTCGCTTTAAACATTTGCAAGAGTTCCAATGCTTACCATGGTCAGCGTACCAAGGTCAAGTCCGGTCGAGGGGCCTATGGAAGATATGGTGCTTTGGAGGGGCTCAAGATTGCCAGGGCGCACCAATTACGTTGATTCGCGGTGTTGATGTCTCATGAATGGTCTTCTGGCACGTTTCAGGGTCGCCAGTACGTAACAATCCAGTTAAGTCGTGGCGTTGACATCCTGAGAATGGTCTTTTGGCACGCTTCAAGATTTTCACACGGTTGTCCCCCAAGTGGGCAATTCACTCTATGGAAATGAACTTCGTAGGGGCCTCTGAAGAAGGAGCTTGGAGGGAGGTCGTATTCCAACATCGCTGGCGAGTCTTCGGTTTTCACTGGTCCTCTTTCCCCCTCCAGATATCAAATGATATGGTCTGCCTTGACCAAGCATTTTACTCGATTTCGGCATCTGCGGGACGTTGTTTGGACCGAACGGAATCAACAACGGATTCCGAATGAAGGAATACCCCTGGGGAGCCCGTCGGGACCTCTGGGGCCTCGCATGGAACATCCAACTATCTTGATGAAGGGCCCACTCATATCCAGGCGTGAATGCCGAAAGGCAAATGTGACGAAGGAAGGGTGATCTCTGTTGGGGCCAAGGATCGTGTGAGGGGTGTGCCAAAACAGGGTGGCGTCGCCATGCGAGCCCCGCCCCTGGGGCCTTGTGGAGCCCTCCTATGTGGCCACGAAACGTGTGAATGCTGCGCCGAAGCGGGAGTGGCGCCGACATTTGCAAAGTGCATCCGGGGCCTTAGGTGGAGCTCCCTGTGGGGCCACGAAAAGTGTGAGGGGTGTGCCGAAACAGGCGTGCCGCCCACAAGTGGACGGTGCAACAGGGTCCTTCGGTGAAGCTACCATGGGCCACGAAGCGTGTTTTTCCATGCGAACAATTGACCTCTATACTGCGCATCCACAAGTGTCATGCGATTGAAAGAATCGCAAGGCAAACCAGGTGCGACCCAAGAGCCGACCTACGAGATACAAACTTATCGCTTGAACCGTGGCCTAGGAGAGAACGAGCACGTGAGAACACAACTTACACCCCCCTGCGCCAGCCGCAGGCCACAAGATCGCAAAAACTATCAAAAGTCACAAATGGGCATCGGGGCAACTCCACGGAAGCACACGCGACAATGCAAACTTGAAGCGTGACGTCTCCAAAGACGGGCTGCGAACTCGAAGGCGTAAAGAACGCAACAACAAGCGGATATGTAGACGTCCCCATGAGTCGCCACGCAAACTGCCCGCCTAAGACGGCACGATCCAGCACCTCGCTCGGCAGCACCATGGCCCTCTGCCACTGCATGCCTTTCTCGCACGCGCTGATGCCAGCGCTGTAGCTGACTAGCGCTAACCCGTGGACTTCGTCCACGAAAGCTGCGCCAGCAAGATGGCGAAACGACGCGACTTCCCCAGGGAAATCAATAATTTCGAAGCCCCAGGTGACTGTTTTTTTGGAGTCGTCGTCGTCGTCGTCGTCGTCGTCGTCGTCGTCGTCGTCGTCGTCGTCGTCGTCGTCGCCGTCCTCGGCGGGCGCAGCAGCAGCAGGCAGCTGCACGAGCTCCACGCCCGCGCGCACATGCGCCCGCTCCGCCGCCGCTCGCGGCCGCCTCCGTTGTCCGCGCGGCCGAGAGCAGGGCCGCTGAGACCTCTTTGCCTTCCGCAGCCGCCGAGCCCGCCGCGGCAGCGCCAGCCTGCTTCGAACGGCGGGGCTCGCTGGCGAGCTCGGCGAACGCCACTCGCAGCATGCCCTCCGCCGCTCGCAGGAGGCGCGTGCCTCCACAAAGCGCCTCCACCGCCAGGCCGCTGGCGGCGTGGGCCGCCAGAAGGGCGCCGCGGGCATCCTCCAGGGCGTTCCGCCGCGCAGCATCCGCGCCGCTGGCGTCAGCACGAGCGGGGCTCCGGCAGAGGTCATTCCGACGAGGCGAAGTGTCGGCGCGGGCCAGGCGCACCTTGGCTTCAGGCCACACAGCTTGAGCCAAAATAGCTTCGGATGTGTGTGTGTGTGTGTGAACATGCGTGTGTAGGTGTGTGTGTGTGTGTGCGTGCGATTGTGTTTGTGTTTGTGTTTGTGTGTGCGTGTGCGTGTGCGTGTGCGTGTGCGTGTGCGTGTGCGTGTGCGTGTGTGTGTGTGTGCGTGTGTGTGTGACCGCCCCGCTAGGCCTGAACCCTGCGTCACCTCCACGCTGACCAGGCGCCGCCTGGGGGCCGCGTGGCCAAGGGGACTGCTGTCGACGCTCCTCGGGGCGGAGGGGGGCTGAGGAGGAGGAGGTAGAGCAGGAAGAGGAAGAGGAGGACGAGGAGGAAGACGAGGAGGAGGACGAGGAGGAGGAGGAGGAGTGCAATACTTTAGTATGTACACAGATGTAAACAAATGTACACTGATACATCACAATACACCTACATATACACATACATCTACATATACATATACACATACATACACATACATCTATTCACATAGGCATCATCACTGAAATACATGTAACCATACGTATGCAAGTCTACAACCAGACATACATGCGTAGCACCCCGCAGATGCGGATAAGAGTGAGGGGGCGGTGGGGACGTCGGCAGTTTGCGAGACTCTGGAGAAGCCCGCCGCAGGCGCCAAAGTCTCACAAATTATACAACGAGCCCGCCACAAGCGCCGATTTTTTCGTTAAGCTAATGTGGGTCGGTCGCGGGTGGGTCGCGGGTGGGTCGCGGGGTGGGTCGCGGGTGGGTCGCTGATGGGTCGCGGGAGTGTCGCGGGCGTAGAGGGCAGAAAATCCAGCCCATAATAACCAACCCGACAAGCAAAGCCGTTTAGTAAACGCACACAAGGAATGAATCCAACACGGCAGGGCTGTTTAGTCAAGGCCCAGGGCCGCTTTAGTAAAACTCTATTGCCAGGTCCGGATGGTTTTTCCTCCCTTGAGAGTGGGTCGCGGGGTGGGCCGCGGGTGGGTCGCGGGGTGGGTCGCGGGTGAGTCACGGATGGGTCGCGGATGGGTCGCGGGGTGGATCGCGGGTGTGTCGCGGGGTGGGTCGCGGGTGGGTCGGGGGTGGGTCGCGGGTGGGTCGCGGGGTGGGGCGCGGGGTGGGTCGCGGGGTGGGGCGCGGGTGGGTCGCGGGAAGAACGACGACAACAAACAATAACGACAACAACAACAACGACGACAACGACAACGACAACAACAACAACAGCAGCAACAGCAACAGCAACAGCAACAGCAACAACAACAACAGCAGCAGCAGCAACAGCAGAAGCAGCAGCAGCAGCAGCAACAACAACAACAACGCAGCAAGCATACTCTCACTACGAATTCCTTATTTAGCCACGCACCCAGGGACAATGAATGACCGTTCGGTCCCCTCACTCTGACATAAATACATCCATACAGTCAGACACACGGACATACCTACATGCAGGCATACAGCTATACATGCATACCTAACCAAATGCGCAGTCGTACCTACATGCCTACAGACAGACAGACAGACAGACAGACAGACAGACAGACATACATGCAACCATGCATCCACACATGCATACCTTCAGTAATCCATACATACATACATACATACATGCATGCATGCATGCATGCATACATACACACATACACACATACATACATGCATGCATGCATACAAACAAACATGTATGAATGCATGAACGTATGTGTACATGCATACCTATATACACACGTATGTGTACATGCATACCTATATATATACACACGTATAGTGAAGGGGCCGAACGGTTATTCATTGTCCCTGGGTGCGTGGCTGAATAAGGTATTCGTGGTGAGAATTCTGCTTGTTGCGTTGTTGTTGTTGTTGAGGTTGTTGTTGTTGCTGTTGTCGTTTGTCTTGTCGTCGTCCCACCCGCGACCCACCCGCGACCAACCCCGCGACCCACCTCACGACCCACCCCGCGACCCCACCCGCGACCCACCCCGCGACCCACCCGCGGCCCAACCCGCGCGCCATCATCCTTGACCCACCCACAACCCACCCGCGACCCACCCGCGACCCACCCGCGACCCACCCCGCGACGCACCCGTGACACACCCCGCGACCCATCCACGACCCATCCGCGACCCACCCGCGACCCACCCCGCGACCCACCCGCGGCCCAATCCGAGACCCACCAACAAGGGAGGAAAAAACACCCAGACCCGACAATTGACGTTCACTAAAACGGCCCTGGGCGTTGACTAAACAGCCCTGGTGATTATTACGGGGTGGATTTTCTGCCCTCTATACCCGCGACCCACCCGCGACCCAACCGCGACCCACCCCGCGACCCACCCGCAACCTACCCACACTGGTTTAACGCAAAAATCGGCGCCTGCGGCGGGCTCGTTGTAGAAATTGTGAGACTTTGGCGCCTGCGGCGGGCTTCTCCAGAGTCTCGCAAACTGCCGACGTCCCCGCCGCCCCCTCACTCTTATCCGCATCTGCGGGGTGCTGCGTACCTACGAACATGGATACACACAACCAATCAGATAGACATATACATACACAAACATACATGCGTGCAATCATGCACTCACGCATCCATACAAGCATATATACACACCTATACATACATACGTACGCACGCGCACTTAATTAAGCGTAGCACACTGCAGATGCTGATAATAGTGAGGGGGCGGTGGGAACGTCGGCAGTTTGCGAGACTCTGGAGAAGCCCGCCGCAGGCACCAAAGTCTCACAAATTATACAACGAGCCCGCCGCAGGCGCCGTTTTTTTCGCTAACCAATGTGGGTAAGTCGCGGGTGCGTCGCGCATGGTTCGCGGGTGTAGAGGGCAGAAAGTCCAGCCCATAATAATCACCCCGACAAGCGAAGCCGTTTAGTAAACGCACACAAGGAATGAATCCAACAGGGCAGGGCTGTTTAATCAACGTCCAGGGCCGTTTTAGTAAAAATCTATTGCCGGGTCCGGGTGTTTTTTCCTTTCTTGAGGGTGGGTCGCGGGGTGGGCCGCGGGTGGGTCGCGGGGTGGGTCGCGGGTGGGTCGCGGATGGGTCGAGGATGGGTCGCTGGGTGGGTCACGGGGTGTGTCGCGGGGTGGGTCGCGGGTGGGTCGCAGGTGGGTCGCGGGTGGGTCGCGGGGTGGGTCGCGGGGTGGGTCGCGGGGTGGATCGCGGGGAGGGTCGCGGGTGGGTCGCGGGTGGGACGACGACGACGACAACAAACAACAACAACAACAACAACAACAACAACAACAACAACAATCATTTTACCCGAACGCGTGGTGTTCTCCCCAGTGCCAGGGTTTTCATACGACACCAGGCAATACCCCCACTTCGTGGGGGGGGCATTACAAGCTCTACCAAATATCCAAACGACTCTTCGCGACCACCCAAACCCAGCTTCCCGCCCTATGACGTTGGGACACTTCACTTCGTGGCGTGCGGACGACCGTGGCTACTACACTGGCGTGGGGTACACACCCACAGAACCCAATGGTTTTTGGAGATTTCGGCGTGCGCGCGCGAAGAAAAAACGAATGTGTCCCGCATGGTATTATTTGACAGGGATGATGGCCCTGGCAGGTGCGCAACCGTTGTCGCAGAAGTTCGAAAAAGTTGCTCGCAAAAGCCCGTTTGACAGAAATGTTTAAAAAGTGTTGGGTTTCCTACGAATCCGCAAGAGCGCGCGGGATGAGATTTTGACATTTTTTTGTTGAAAAACCATTGGTTTTTTGATGTTTTTATGTTAAAATCGCTCCGAACACTAAGCTTTTGGAAGGATTTCGTCTTGCGCGCGCGAATGTCCACTTTACCTTATTTTTTACAAGGGATTCTTGAAATTTGATAATATTTGAACAAGAAATTTCATTTTATAGTGTTTTTTGCAAGGGAAAACGGATTACAACAAAACAACCGGATCTTGATCACCTCGAATTACCTGAGGCTTCCTCACGAAAATGATGAAAACGTGGCTGCGGCCTAGGCGCGGCGGGGGGGGCGCGCACCAGGGGGCCCAACAATAATTATTCTTTAGAATTAATAATGTTCAACAACAACAACAACAACAACAACAACAGCAACAACAACAACAGCAGCAACAACAATAACAACAACAATAACAACAACAACAACAACAACAACAACAACAACAACAACAACAACAGCAACAACAGCAGCAGCAACAACAACAACGACAACAACCACAACGCAACAAGCAGAATTCTCACCATGAATTCCTTATTCAGCCACGCACCCAGGGACAATGAATGACCGTTCGGCCCCCTCACTCTGATATATAATGGTATATGTGTCAGAATATACATATATATAGTTTGTTTGGTATGTATTTTACCATCTGGCGGGGCCCCCCCCAAAAATGGCCTGGAGAAAAAAAACAAAACCATATGTAGTTGTGGGCATCCAGGCTCACAACCCTCAGACCGGTCGCTCCTGAAGTGCACCCCCCCAAGTGCTGCGCAGAACCGACTGCGGCCGCTTGCTGCTGGGCAGACGTCACCTGCCCCACACAGGGCAGCAACGCGGGCCGCAACGCCGACGGCGACCCCTAGTCAGGAACGGGCAGGGGCCGCGGCAAGTCTTCGTCCCCAGTCTTCCTGCCCCTATGCGGAGGCCGTCCAGATGGGGCTCAAGAAGATGGGGTCGGACGATCGCGCTGCATCGCCGGTGAATCGGCGACGTGTCGGCGACATCGTGATGGGGAGCGCGGGGACCCGAATCGAGTCGCATCGCCGAAGCCTCGGCCACGGGGCGAGATCCGCCGACCCCGTCTGCTCGGAACCCCGTGTGGGCGACGCCCTACAGTCGGGCCGCTGGCAGAAGGAACGCTAAATCAGGAACGAAGCCCCTTCTTGGCCCTGTAAGCGCCTCCGTGCCCCAGGAGGGCAAGAGGAACAGCACTGGAGGAACCTAAGGAACATCGAGAGTCCCTTCCGAAGCCAAACTGTTCCTTATTTCAGCGTCTTGACTGTACCTGGAGGACCGAACTTGCACCCCTGCATTCCCAGACATCCGACGATGTATTCTTTCTCAGTGCACGGCCCCTGAGGTCCCGACCCACTCCTGGGGGTAAACGTTTCGCTCGTCCTGGAACCACTCTTGAGGGCCCCGGGCCCGACAACGTGCTCCAGAGGCCGAAGTCGAAGAAAGAGCCCCGGCCGAACACCACAAATCGAGGACAACACCACAGAGATCCGACGTAGTGATTTGTTCGATACGGGGACCCCAGAAAACTCGACCCGTTCCACATGACCGGTCTTTCATCCTGAGTCGTGTCCTGACAGCCCGGGGACCCGGCGAGGGCCCCTGCCTAGTGGCCGAACATCGCGAGAAACCTCCGTCTTGACTTTTGTTCAAAACGTGGGATCTCTCTGGGGCCGAGCACGTCGAACACCAGAAGCTAACGGAAACGGAAACGGATCGCCTGTACGGGCATGCGCCTGGGCCCCGTCAGGGCGAGGCGGGTTCGGCCATGGCCTCGCATGAGAAGCTGCGCGCGTCGGGGGTCTACTCAGGAAAATGCGTACTTCAAGAGCTGATTTCCCGACAGTCCCCACTCATCCGTTTTCTCATGATGTAGCCACGTCGTCCCGTTGAACACCAGAAGCCAGGAGATCCCAGAGCATGCTGAGCAAAAGCGTCGGAGATCTGGGCCTCGGCCCCCCGGACCCACTGGGCGGTCGCCCGGCCACGCCGTGGCGACCCCGGGAGGCACTGGACCTGACAGGCAACGATGGGAGGGGACACCGTGGGGGCCAGTCCCGAAGACGCCTGCCACACGAAACCCAACCCGGAGACCCCAGGGCGTCCATGTGGGCATGTAGGCTCCGGGAGGGCAACTCAAGCGGGAATCGGCGACACGTCGCCGACCGTGGCCTGATGGCCCACCCCGCCTGGGGACGCGCGCATTCGCCATGCATCGCCGATGTTCCAGCTCGATGCTTCCCCCCCCCCCCGAGCCCGCCCCCCCCTGAGCCTACCCTCCCCCAGAGATCCGACGCCGCGACTTTTTCAATAATTACGCCCCCCCAGAAGTCTCCATCCATTCCCCGGGACCGGTTTTCCATCCTGGGCTCGTCATTTGACGGCCCCGCGGTCCGGCGAGGGCCTCTAGAGGCCGAGAAGGGCGAAACACCTCCGTCTGAATTTTTCCAATGCGCTGGATCCCCTGGCCCTGCCGATGCCCTCGAAGACCCCTGCCCCAGGACCGGCTTCTCGTCCTGCGTATAATTTGTTTCTGCACGGACCCGAGGCCTGGCGAGGGCCCCCAGAGGCCCGCCAATAGCGATACACTTCTTCGCGCCGAGCCCTGAGATCCGACGACGCCAAGAAAATGTAACATTCAGCGTGTTTTCGTTAGACGCCCGTAAGTTCACTTGCGTGGACGGGGGGGGCTTGAGCCTGAAGTAAGCCGCAAACGACTTGCACGTGCAGAAACCACGCAAGTCGAAAGGCACTTGCACACAAGGGGCGATTGGGCGGGGGGGGGGGGGGCGAAGACCATGCGAGCAAACGTGTCAGAATCTATAACGAGCTCATCGCAAAAAAAAAAACACGACCGGATCCCAGACCCCGCCTTTCTGCGTCATTTCTCGAACCGGAGCGATCTGTGAGGGCCCCGCGGGGTCCGAAATGGAGCGAACACGCCCGGCTCCAGAAAACTGAGTCGCCAGAATCTCGAGGAGAAGTGCCGTCGTCGTCGACGTCGTCGTGACGTCGCCGCTGGCGAGCGGTCGGTCGGCCGGCCGTCGCCGTGCCGTCGCCGCCGCCGCCGGCGAGCGTCTGGCCGCCGTCGGCCGCCCGCCGAGAGCGCGCGGCCTCGGCGGCGCCGCGCCGCCCCAGCGGGCGGCCGGCGGCGGCGACGCCGGGCGCGGCCCGGCGCCAGCGGGCGGCGGGCTGCCGGGGCGGTGGCGCCAGGGCGAGGCACCTCACAGGGGCCCAGGCTCTCGAGGTCGCGGCGCGGCAGAAGCAAGATCCGCAAAGGAAGCGGGGCGAGACCGGGGCAAGGCACGCACCGACGGCTCTCTCACGTTTGCCCGCTCGCGCGCGGTGCTCGTGGGTGCGCCCCGAGGGCGTTCTCGTGCCTGCCCGCTGTTGGGCGCGCCCTGAGGGCCCCTCCTTGCGTCCCCGCTCGCACGCGGCGCACGCTAGCGCGCCCGGAGGGCTCCCTCGCGCGTGACAGCTCGTTCGCGGCGCTCAAGGGCACGCCCCGATGGCAACTCCGTGCGTGCCCGCTCACACGTGCACTCTGGCGCGCCCCAAGGGCATCTCCGTGCGTTGCCCGCCCGCACGCGGAGCGCATGGGCGTGCGCTGTCTGGCGCGCCCTGGGAGCGCTCCCGTGCGGTCCCGCTTGCACGCGGCAGGCAATGGCGCGCCCTGGAGGCACTCGTGCGCACGCCCGCTCGCGCGCGGCGCGTTCTGGCGCGCCCCGAGGGCTGTTCCGCGCGTGCCCGCCGCTCGCACGTGGCGGTCTCTCGCGCGTCCCGAAGGCGTTTTTGCGCGCCGCTTGCCCGCGGCGCTCTCGGCTGACGTCTTCTCGCGCAGCCCCCCCCCCTTCCCCCCCCACGCACTCCCCGCGCGGCCTTTTGCGCGGCGACTGCAGCTGGCGTCTGTTCACGCGCCGACCCCAGCGCGAGGCATTAGATCGGCGCCACGCGCCGTCCCCAGCGCAACTGATCGCGTGCCACGATTGGGCCAAGCATGCGACACGTGAGTCTCCTCCTGCGCGCGCGAGCGCCATCCAGGCAAGCGGGGAAGCTGCTGGCGCCACGCGCCGACCCCAGCGCGAAGAATGTGGCTGCACCTCACACATTCCTACGCAGCCCCTCCCCCCTGCGCGGCGATGGCGGAGCGATGGCCTGCAGGTGCGACGCCGCTGCGACGCAACTGCAGGGACGCTCGCGCGCACCCGCGCGTCACCAGCCGCGCGGCGAGGCGCCATCCCGCTCGGCGCTACGCGCCGACCGCCGCGCGAACATCGTTTGCCGAGAGAGCTGCCGACGCCGCGCGGGGAGTCACCCCGCGTGCGCTCGAGCGCTCGCCAGACGCGCGCGGAATCGGATTGGCGCCGCGCGCCGACCCCAGCACGATACACTGCGTTTCGGGATCGCCCCCCCCCCCCCCCCACCCCACCCCCTGCGACGCGCGAGTCTTCGCCTGCGCGCGCGCGCGTGCGCTGTCCAGGCAAGCGGGGAATCTGCTCGGCGCCGCGCGCCAACTCCAGCGCAGACACTTTCGTCGCCGAGCCAGCCGCCGACGCGGCGCACCAGCAGTCTGCGTGGCTCCGCGCGCCGACTCGACCGCGAACAATTTCGCCGTCGAAGTTGCGCCACAGTGCCACCGCGCATGGCGCGATTCGCGCTCGACGTCTGGCCTGGCCAAGGGTCCTCGCTCGTCATTTCAATCGAGGGGCGGCGATGCGATACTTACTATCGTGGAGCGATGTGCATCGCCAGGATACTCCCCCCTTTTCTAAGGAGGCTGCGTGGGGAGTCGCGTTCAAAGAGGGAGCTCTCACTCTTAGGGGTAAGCGAGGTACGGTGTGGGGGAGCTGGGCCAAGGGCATCGCGAAGCGCGCGCAAGGGCACCCCACAGTCCCGTCAGGGGGGTGGGATGCTTGCGCGCACTCCACAACGGCAAACACTCTCTCTCTCACTCTCTCTCTCTCTATATTTGTTTGTCTGTTATCTCTCTCTTACTTTTTTTTTCTCTCTCTCTCTCTCTCTATCTCTCTCCCAATCTCCCTCTCACTCTCTCTCTCTCTATGTATGGATTTCTCCTCGCTTGATGTTCTCTCTATCTCTCTCTCTCTCTCGTTTTCTCTCCGACCCCTTTTCTCTCGCGCTCTCTCTTTCTTTCTATGTCTTTCGTCATACACCTTCGCTCCCCTCGCCTTCTCATTGAACTGCTACTGCTACCGCTACTGCTACTGCTACTGCTACTGCTCATGCGATTGTCAACGCGACTGCTACTGCTACTGCGACTGTTATTGCGTATGACACTGGTCATGTTACCGCCCATGCTAAAAACAATGCCATTGCCCATGATACTGCCTCCCATGCTATGCCCGTGCTACTGCCCACGCGACTGCCCATGCTACTGCTACTGCCACTGCTACTGCCCCCGCGACTGTCCATGCTACAAGCCGTGCTACTGTCCATGCTACCGTCCATGCTACTGCCCGTACTGTCCACGATGCTACCCATGCTACTGCCCATGCTGCTGCCAATGCCACTGCTCTGACGAGAAGCTACCCGTGCGTCCTTTCATACTACTGCTCATGCTGCGCGCCTTTCCTTCTCGATTTTCCAGTCGCCGCTGTCGTCACAGAGGCCAACGCTGTCTTCACCGTCGCGCTCGCCATCGCCATGGACGCCACCGCAGCTGCCATGGCGGCCGCCGTCGTCGCCCTCGTCGTCGCCGCTGCCCCTCAGATCTGACGCAGGAAACATATACGCATCGTCTTACAATCTGATTCCCAGATCCTCGGGCCCCTCCGCTCCGCGTGAACTTTCGAGCCGCGTCGATGTGTGAGGGGGCCCAGGGGCCCGAAGCTGGGCGGGCAGAAGAAACGCCAGTTGGGAAAAAATGGCAACGCCGGGATCTGAAGGGCCGTCGGGGACGCGAGACGTCTTTTCTACAGTATGAGCTCGACCGCAAGGAACCTTCCACCAGAAACCCAACCCTGAGACCCCAGAACGTCCATGGACTCCTGGTGTGGGAATGTCACGCTTTCGATGGCAAAACCGTCGAAGCCCAGGGCACCCTCCGGACCGGGCGAAAGGGGGGGATAGCAAAGGGGGTGGTTGAGACTCAGCTCACGTAGCTGATTTTCCCGGCGCCTCCCGGCGCCGGAGGCGGCCATGCATGTCGAGGAAGGGGCCCCTCGGTGGGGCTGAAACCGACTGCATGCCGCAGATTTCGTAACCTCCCCTTTCCCCATCCCCCCCCCCTGTCGCTCGGCCCGAACCCTGGAGGCGGGCGGGGCGTCTCCCGGCATGGGCCTCCGCCGTAGGCGGCGGCGCCGACCGACGACGGCGGCGGCGGCGGCGAGCTCCGCCGCCACTGCCGGGGGCCTCCGGGAGGCTGCTGCGGCGCGCGCGGCGCCGCCACGGCGGCGCAGGGCCGCCACGGGGGCCTCGGCGGCGGGGGGGCCCTCGAGAGGCAGCCCCGATCGCGGGGGCGCCCCCGCGTGCGCGCGCAGGTCGCTGGCGGAGGGCGCGACGCCGCACGACGTCAGGTGGCCGCCCAGACCAGAAGAAGACGAAGGAGAAGAAAAGGAATAAGAAGAATAATAAAAATAAGAAGAAGAAGAAGAAGAGGAAGAACAAATAAGAAGAAGACGAAGAAGAACAAGAAGACGACCAGGAAGACAAAGAAGACGCAACTGCATAACACACAAACTTTCGGAGAACCACGTAGACTTTTCGTGGATGGGGGCCGGGCACCCATGGGGGCGCCTCCAGCGCCGCCCCTGGCGAGCTCCGCGCGCCAGGGGTCCACCGCCGACCCAAGGAGTTCGGACGGACCTTCGAAAGTTTTACGCTTATGCCATATCGTCTTCTTCCATAGGTGGGGTCGGAAGGGGCATCGGCGATGCATCGGCGGTGCGGGATGGAGGAATTCGGGCGGCCCCACTGGTGCCGCTGCGGAAGAGTCTGAGAGTCTGGTCGACTCCACAAGCCCTAAGCCCAAGCATGCTGACGCCTCGCGTTTACCTCCACCGACCTTCCGCCGAGGCCCCAACAGCAGTGTTCACCCAGCGTTTGCGCATCCACGGCCTGACGAAGGTTTGCATTGCCCCTGGCGAATGTATTATTCAGTGCCTATGCGGCGTAGAAGCGCCAGTTCTGCTTGCTTGCATGCTTCACCTTCCGCCGGCGGAACCATTGAAGTTTTACGTCAGCCCCCCAGCAGTGTCCAGGGCAGCGGGAAGACGTCGTCGTCGTCGTCGGCATCGTCGTCCCGCTGGCGTCCGCCCACTTCCGCCGAGAGCGAGAGCGCGCCGAAAGCGAGGCCACTTCCAGAACGTGCCGTCTGCTCTGGCCCCACTGGGGCGGCCTGGACGCCTGGACCGGTCGGCGCGGCGGGGAGCGCAGTACCACTCGTCATCAAACTCACGCCACGAATACATATATATATATATATATATATATATATATATATCGGAGGTGAGGGGGTGAGATCGAAGTGGAACGGAGAGCCCCCCTACTGGGAAATCGATTTCGGTTTCGTGTTCGTGCGTACCGTGCGTGCGGGCGAGGCGAAGCTGCGTGGGCGGGCGAGAGAAAGTCTCCTGTGGCTGAGGCGCGGCCGGACCAAATGTCTCCCTTCCGGGCGGCCGGTGGCCCGCGGTGTCCCGCCAGTGTCCCGCGAAAGTCCCGTGTGGCTGAGGCGCGGCCGGACCAAATGTCTCCCTTCCGGGCGGCCGGTGGCCCGCGGTGTCCCGCCGGTGTCCCGCGGTGTCCCGCGGTGTCCCGCGGTGCCCCGCGGTGTCCCGCCGGTGTCCCGCGGTGTCCCGCGATGATGATGATGATGATGATGATGATGATGATGATGATGATGATGATGATGCTGATGATGATGATGGTGAGATGATGATGATGATGATGGTGATGATGATGATGATGACGATGATGGTGATGGTGATGCTGATGATGATGCTGATGATGATGACGATGATGACGATGATGATGATGATGCTGATGATGATGACGATGATGATGATGATGATGGTGTCGATGATGATGGTGTCCCGATGATGATGATGATGATGATGATGATGATGTCGATGATGATGACGATGATGATGATGCTGATGGTGTCCCGATGATCAGGATGATGATGATCATGATGATTATGTTGATGATCATGATGATTACGATGATGGTGTCCCGATGATGATGAGTATGGTGATGCGATGTTGA